TGGGGGGCCGGAAGTGCAGGTGGGGGGTGTGAGGACGGTAAGGGTTCCCCGGAAATGGGGAGAGGGGCCCGGAAACCGGGAGAAGGGAGGCTCTGAGGCCGGGGACGGCCCGGAAATGGAAACTAGGGAGCAGCTCGAGTGACAACAGTTGTGGGAAGCTAGGGTCAGAGGAGGGAGAGGCCGGAGTGACTTCAAACCGCGGTAAGGGGCTTCCTGCCCAGGGGGACGGTTGAGGCCGGGCGGGCGGGCGAGCCCTCGGACGGGGTCTGCGCGGGGCAGTTTTTTTAACTGTGGGAAGTTCAGGTTGAAAGAGGATGACGACGAGAGAGGCATGTAGGGGGGATTGAAAGAGGCCGAGAAACTTGGCTGAGAGGAACAGGGTATCTTATAAATAGATGAGAATGGGAATTGGTGGTGGTGGGGGGTTGAACCAGGACTTGGGGGAGGGAGATGGGCCAATTGTCACCCCAATCGTATTAGCATTCAAAGCGAGTCAGGCGATTAATTTATTTATATGTGGATTACATAAACCCTATTATAACGTTTGTCCGTCAGTTCAACCCGTCTCCTTCTCCATAGTGAGTGGGTCTCTAGTACAGGAACAAGTTAGAGGGGAGTTCAGATAATGAAGGCTGTAAAATCAAATCGCGTTCTTTTCGTGTCTCTCTCAGAGAAAGAAATCCTTAATTTGCTAGAGGAAAAAATTCAGATAAATTTAACAACACGTGCAAATCGGGGGGAATAACTTACACGTTTGAAATACTGATGGGGGTCGGGAGGGAGCTGGTTACCCTATGTGGTGAGGAGAGAACGGAAGGGGCTGCTTCCAAACACTTAAGACTTTGATAATGCCGTTTTACTTTGTCTGGGGGAGGTTTAGCCTCAGCGTCGTGCCTTTCAGTGGGTATAGTTTAATTGCTTCGTTAGTTAATTGGGGGAGGGAACGTGTCGAACGCTTCTGTCTGTGTGTTGGGGGGCTGCGGTTAATAGCGCAGTGAATCTGTTCTGAGTGGACGTCTAACTGCTCTCTTGCTGTCCCCCTTCCTAGTGGCGTTCCACGATCTTGCCTGGGCTGCCAGATCACTCGATCTCCGGGCTTGATTCCGTTTTGTAGGCCCTTCAATGGTGTGTTTAACTTTCTACTCCTCTCGAGAGTCTCATCAGATATTTTTGGCATTTCATTTTTTAAAGACCTGGCAAGTTAAGGCTCAGAATCTCCTCTCTAAAAACAAAACAAAAAATACGGGGCAGAAAGTTGAAAGAGCTATTGAGTGGAGTAAAAAACCAACGCTCAGAACAAAGGTCCTAGTTGTGTTAGAAAAAAAGGCAAGGGGCCTTGTATATGAGGCCTGTGTGTGTTGCATTTATATCCCAGGGGGAGGGAAGCAGGATTGAGGATTGGAATTAGCAGAGGTTTAAAGACAAATTGTAGAGGATTTTATTGGGGTTTATTTTCATATTTCAGCATGCAAAGAGATCCATATTAAGTGTAAGTTTTAAAGTAAACACAATTTCTAAATCTTTCTTTTGACATTCCCTGCTCCATGTTCAACCCTAGAAATACGGAACTGGTATGACTTTCTGTCACCTTTGAGATTAAGAGTTTTAAATTGCATTTATTTTAAGCTTAAGGGAGTCCATGAAAATGATTGGGTTTTGTGGGCTTTTTCTGCCTTTCTATGAATGTGCCAATATCCATAAGAATTGGAGAACTGTAATTAAGACTATTATTGTTTCCATTGGATCCCTAGTTTTTCAGAAGTGTGAGTGGTTTTTAAGTCTCCTCAGCTGATATTTACTACTTAGTTTGTGTCTATAAAGAGACTTTTTGTTTTACTTTTTTCATTTACTTTCTGAAAGTTGAAGAACAATTTTGGCATTTAGAGTTCCAGAACGTGCTAAACTAAAAGTTGTATTTAAAGAATGAGCGGGGTGCTAGGTAGACCAGGATAAGACCAGTACTTCCCCCTGGCAGAGTAAATGTGGAGTATATTTACTTTTCCAACTTTTAAGATTACTATTGTATTTATATTACCTAGATAAGTCTTTATGGTCTTATTTTAAGGTTATCATCTTCAGCAAAGAAGTCACATCACTGACTTCGAAATTTACATTCTGACAGTTAGTAGCTTAAGTCACTTAACCTATCTGTAAAATGGGGATGGGTAATCTCTATCTCAAAGCAACAAAATACTAAGTAAGTGTAAGATGTTATTGTTTTAGAAAATTGCATTAGTTATTTTAAGTTCATTAAAAAAAGATACACTGGGGTGGTGGTGGTCCTCGGGGAGGGAGAAATTGATAAAAAGTAGGTTGAAGCTAGGAAGTTATAGTGCTTTGTAATTTGAAACTGCTGCTTAATTGGTGGTGGAACTTGGGCCCGATTTTTGTTTGTTAAATTAGCTTTTTATTAGTAACAGCATGCCAGATACTTTTTCACCATACATCCTAATGAATAAACTTGTTACTCCTGTTTGGAGGAACTTCAAATTTCTTTGGATTTTTATTATTGACAAAATTTGTACCTATTCTGGTTTGTGGCTTTTATGAAATTGACTTTTAAATGTCAGAGATTACAATTAGGAAAAACATTGGTCAGGCGTGATGGCTCATGACTGTAATCCCAGCACTTTGGGAGGTGGAGGCGAGAGGATTGCCTGAGCCCAGGGGTTCAAGACCAGTCTGGGTAACTTGGCAAGACCTCATCTCTACGATAAATTTAAAAAATTAGCTGGACGTGGTGGAACCTGTGGTTCCAGCTACTTGGAAGGCTGAGGCAGGCAGGTCGAGGCTGTGGTGGCCATGAGCGTGCCACTGCACTGCACTCCAGCCTGGGCAACAGAGTGAGACTCCAACTCAAAAAAAAAAATGTTCCTGAATCTTGGTCTCTGTGTTTTATTTACAGAACTAGGGAACTTGTGTTTTCCCTTTTAAATGGATGGGTAGGGATCTTTTTGAGCAAATGTGATACCAATTGCCCTTTTGTTTTTCTCTGTTTGCTGAGGTAATTTGGTAGATTCAAGTCAAAACAGCAACCTGCTTGTTTTCGTCTTTGCTTGTTTTTCCTTGCAATTAATTGCCAGCCTGGCATGGACTTTTCCTTCATTTAAATCAAGCAAGCAAAGCCGATAGAGGATGTAAAGAACAACTTGAATTCAGCCTTTCAGATCACTTCCTCAAACAAACTTCCATTCCATGTTCTTTTACTTGTATTTTTTGGTTATATTTATATGCTTCATTTTTGGATTATAGTTCTGCATTTGTTGACTTTTGTTTCCCAGTTGGATAATAGCCTTCCTGAGGGTGATGTTTATTTTATATCATTGTGGTATGCATGAAGGTGTGCTTGTAAGCCTGACTGAAAAATAATTCCCAGGCTGGGTATGTTGGCTCACAACTGAAATCCAAGTGCTTTGGGGAAGCCAAGGTAGAGGTATCACTTGAGGTCAGGATCAGCCTGAGCAACACAGACCCTGTCTCTGCATAAAAATACAAAAAAATTAGCTGGGCTTGTGGTGTATACCTGTAGTCCTAGCTTCTTGGAAGGTTGAAGTGGGAGGATCACTTGAGCCTAGGAGGTCAAAGGAGGTCAAGATGCAGTGAACTATGATCACACCACTGCACTCCAGCAGTGAAAGAAAATCCCTATTTTCCTCCCCACTGTAAATCAGTAATGCTGACTATTTAGCCACTCTTCTGTTTGGAAGGGTTCTTGGCCCCAATAGATTCTTTAGAATATTACCTGTGGTTTGGTTCTTCACATCTCCCTGACTATGCCATCAGAGTGCTTGAATGAATGTAAATTGTCACCACCATATTTCAGTATTAAGTCAGTGGATATTCTGTACCACTTTTTCCATAGGCCAGGCTATCAACAGGGCCAAGCCTGAGGGGAGTCTGGCCAAATAAGATAGAAGAGTAAGAATCTGGTGTATTTTTATATTTATAAATTGTTGTATAATCTTTTATTTTTTTAATTTTGATTTTTTATAGAGATGAGGTCTTGTTATGTTTCTCAGGTCAGTCTTGGACTCCTGGACTTAAGCAATTGGCCTCCCAAAGTACTGGTTTTATAGGCTTGAGTCACTCTGCCAGACTTTGTTGTATAATCTTAGCACTTACAGTTCTTAAATGTAATGTAAGCTTTACTTGTGTACTTCCTTTGGGTGCCTGTGTGTTGTTGCAACAGCTATATTACAGGCTTCCTGAGAGCATAACCCCCTAGCAGTTGTTCTTTACATTTTTCACCTGTCTACTGGGTTTCTCTGTACATAGTGGGTGCTTGCTGTTATTTGTAGTAAATAGGTAAGGTACTAATGCTGTACTGTCTGAATTTGATTAATATCCTCGCTTATAATAAAATACATAGTTCTTCAGTTAATTTTTTTTTTTTTTGAGCTGTAGCCCAGGCTGGAGTGCAGTGGCATGCTCAGGACTACTATAACCTCGACTTGCTGGGCTCAGGCGATCCTTCTGCTTCAACCTTCCAGGTAGCTGGAACTACAGGTGCATGCTACCATGCCTGGCTAATTTTTCTGTAATTTTTCTTGATTTATTGTGGAGATGAGGTCTCTCCAGGTTGCTAAGGCTGGTCTTGAACCCTTGGACTCAGGCAATCCTCTCACCTTGGCCTCTCAAAGTGCTGGGATTATAGACGTTAGCTACCTTGCCTGACCCTTCAGTTAAATTTAACATCCTATTTGATTGACAATTTTAGGTTATTGGCAAGACATTTTTTTCCTAGACTGAAGTTAGTCTGCTCAGTAGGTTTTCTTTGAGGTCTTTTAGATTTTGGTTGTTTCTTGGTATTTCATTAAACTGGATTGGACAGAAAAAAA